AAGTCACAAAGTACACTCCTTATCCCTGAGCCAGAGTAGGCGTGGCATTTGAACATGGCACTGGTTACTCGTGGAATATTCCAGTCTGGGACAACTGTCATCTTGTTCTGTGTTGGACAGAGACACGACAACAATTGTGTCGGGATGAATCTCACCAGAAGCATAGACACCTCCACGTTAAGTTGAAGCATGCGGCCTACGCCTACCCGATCTCAGGGATTTCGAGTATATGTAGCTGCACATAGGAACCTCAAACCATAACTATCTCGCGGCGCCTCCCTCGTCGAAATGACCGTCTAAGTTACACCAGACGCGTCTCCGAGCTCAATAATCTGTTTTCCAATGCTGCATTCTTTCATAGGAGTGGTGGAAGCTTTTTTACTGCTTTGCGGTTACAGGAATCAGGGAGGGATATTAACTGAGTTTGCATATTCATCCCTTACACAGACATGGTTGAAATTTACAACAGCAAAAGTTCCCTTCACAAACGCATCATTACCCTATATTTGGGTATTATTGATCCGTTCATGCTCCGATTACAATGAAATGTTTCGATAACAGCGAGTATTATCATGCGTAAAAAAGCTTTTAGACTTCTGGACTACTTATACTCTCTTTGCACACATTCACCTTGTAATTTCTATTTTAAGACGATCCTTTTACCTACATCATCACCCATTTTATTACTAGACAATATCAATACTCTTTATCGCATACATTAAAGTCGTTGGCCCTATCTACAGAACAGCCTTAGGGGCCAAGACATGCAATGGTCTGTCTGGATCGGCTTCAAAATGGAACCATCTGTTTTTTTTTGTCACAGAGATCCTTCATGACCTTTATTTCTCCTTATTTTTTATGACCAAACGATTTGTGAGCAATTTTCAGCAAGTTTGTTAGGCACTATTGAACTATTCCTACCCCAAAAACTCAAAAAAATTTTCGCTGAAACGTTGCCTATAGGTGTAATTCGATGCCCTGATCACGAATATCACATTTGTTTCGAGCGCTGGCGTCATTTGGCGCCCACCACTTTTTTTTCACCAAAGTCGATGAAAACTTGCATATGGGGGTTAATTGAGGTCCTGATTACGAATCCAACATTTATTTTTGGCGCTGGCGCCATTTGGCGCCATTACGCGCCAATTTGGCGCCATA